CTCATGACAGACTAGCAATCTTCTATTTTTGGTACACTGACAATTATCTTTTCAACATTCATTACAATGAATGCTCTTTCCTTTCTTGTCTTTTTTCAATTCCTTCTATATGTGTCCTTAGTAGCCGTTGGTTTCCTTTTTTTGGATTTTCTCGTGTAATCAGTATTTAGTTTACATTTTGGTGCTTGATGAATTGACACAAGTGAAAATATGAGCCCACTGTCATTTGTTTTGTCCAACAAGCTAAAACTTTGATTTTGAATTCTTTCTTATCAAACATATATCACATATATATCAGGAGTATATCTGTCTATTATAGTTATATCATAAGTAAATCAATAGTATATCAAAAGTCAATCAATTCTATGTCACCTATAGTAGTAGATATAATAGTTATATCAGAAGTAAATCAATTTCATATCATATGTATATGAAACATATATCACATATATATCAGGAGTATATTTGTCAATCATTAGTATATCAGAGGTCAATCAGAAGTAATTTATTGTTGGTTCGGGCCTGCAGGGTATATTTGTAATTTAGAAGGTGGGACTCCATTTTTTTGAAAAAAAATGCTATATTTAAAAAACGAAAACCTTATTGCTATTTTGCTTATTTTCCCAACTTTTTTAATTTTCCTAAGTTGGGTGCCTTCACGAATAGTTAGAATTCATGTGATTAAGGAGTGCTATGCAATGATGGTAAATAAACAATTTTATGTCAGGGCACGAATTCGTATAAGGATAATTTTGAATTGATATTAGTTTGTTTATGTATGTCACATTTTTTCCTAAACAAATATAATGAAATTCGAAATTATGTTAAGTATACTTTTCTTTTTCTCTTTTTTTGTCTGTAAGAATATATTTTCTTATGCGACTCATTTTTCATAAATAATTTATTGAAAATTTACAAATATTTTTATTCATTTATCTATTTATATTTGATATAAAAAATCGAATAATAAACAAAAATGGAAATTATAATAATATAGTTATTATTATTTCATTGAGTTTTTGGGTGCTTCCATCCTACATTAGTTGACCATAATACAAGGAATTTTCCAAATCATACTCCGAAGGAACACATTTTCTTCGGTTGAGCTTCGTTTGAGAGTGACATAAGACTTCAAATGCTTTGAATATGTCGACAATATGGGATCTCGTTTTCTTACTTTTGACCAGCGGTATCATCTACGTAAACTTTCATGTTCTGACCTATTTACCTCGTAAACTTCCATGTTCTGACTATTTACGTCACGAACATTTTATTGACCATTTCGTTGACAGGTAGTACCAGTGTTCTTCAGGCCAAATGGCATTACATTGTAGCAATAAAAGGTCTTAGTTTGTTATAAACGAGGTATGTCCAGGGTCTAGTATGTACACATTTTGATTTGATTGTAGCCCGAGTATAAATCCATGAATGTTAATAGTTTGTTTGGTCTATCATAAGGTGGGGGAAGTTGTCTTTAGGACATGCTTTATTTAAGTTCGTGAAATCTATAGATGCTCTCCATTTAATGTTAGCTTTCTTAACAAAAACTATGTTAGATAGTCACTCGAGATAGTAAACTTCTTTTATGAATTAAGGATTTAAACAATTTTTGGAACTTGTAAGCAATAATCGGTCTCCTCTCAGCATTTACAGGTCAATGCTTTTGTTCAATAGGTCAAAATAAGGTATCTATGTTGAGATGATGGACCATGATCTTTAGGTCGATGCCCGACGTATCTTTCATGGGACCAGACAAATACATTGGCATTGTTGGTTCTTAAGAAGTGGATGCGTTCCTGCCTATCAATAGCTCCAAGTTTGGTGCCGGTGTTTGACTTGCTTCTCCGGGCTCAATAACGGTACCGGTACAAGCTCCAACTCTTCAGTTCGTGTTCCTCAATGTTGGCATGTCGAATACTTATAAAGCTCACTTTCTTAAGTTATAACATAGATATTTGAAACCTTAAGTGCTATAGTATAACACTACCTAGAAGTCTTCTACTCACTTCAAATTATTCCAACCCCATGATCAGTTGGATACTTCATAATTTAGTGAATTGTTGAGGGTATAGCTGAAGAGCATGTATGATAGGTCGGTCAAATATTGTACTGTAGGCCGACTTAAGAACTCAACGACCTTATACTCATTATGGTATCTCTTTCTCCCAAGGTGATGGGTAAGTCGGTGCAGCCTTCTAATACCACAGAATTGTTAATTAGTGAAACCATCCATAACAAAATTGGGCACTTCTTGAGCTGCACTCTAGTCCCTCTCAAAACAATTTAAAATAATAATACCAGCAATTGTACCGGTTGAGTAACAATTCCTCCTCAGTCAATAAACCAATTGTAATATTCTGTAGGACCAGATGTTGAAATTCCATATTTGAGGTAGAACAACGTTTTTCCCTTCCATGTCTTAAGGTGTGCTCCCTTAAATCGAAAGCGCTTGTTCAGATGTCTAATCTTTTAGCTTTGCTTCTCAATTGTAAGCTCCACGATGAATCTCTTCGTCTCCTTAAAACTGTTTGAGAAACAAACACATAAATACAATTAGGTTGATTCGTAGGTATCTTGTTATGAGATCGATATGCTTTAGGAATCAGTGTTATGAGATTGATATGATTTTGGAATCAATTTGATATGATTTGGGATTTAACATTTAATTTTAGATATTATTTCGATTTAGATGTTTCATTCCTATTATAATTAGGAATTATCCTATTATAAATAGGATGATACGTTGTAACGAGATGTAGTAAGAAATCAAATATGAAATAATCTTTTGTAATTCTTTCAATCTTCACTCTGAAATAATCTTTTGTAATTCTTTCAATCTTTACTCCTCCCTGAAAGCCTCCCAAATTTAGCATATCTTGATATCTTGAGATTCAAACTCTTTGCAGTATGCATTTCTTTATCAAATGTTGGGGCATAAGGTATCTTTTCTTGCATGTCCCCTCTAAGATACAACAATACAATTGAACGATACAACAATACAATTGAAACGTTGTACATGAAAAACAAGCCTTTGAACCATTGGAAAACTGTCATGGCTATCATAATATTGATATGAAAATTGTCTTTCAAAGTTTGATCAAGGTGATATTTTTGAAATCTAATGTCCGTTAGTTACAATTAATTAAGGTCCTTCTGCTGATGACTTGCTTGCTGTTTATCTTTCCTTAAAATATTCAATCAAAAACAATAATATTGATGGCTGAGATTAATTACTTTTCCTGAGTAATTATGGAAAGTTCTCTCTTTATTCCATAAATTAGAAAATTTGGCGCCTCACATATTTTATGTCATTTTGTGCCATTCATTCTATTCTTCAATCAAAATATATTTTGTATTTCATTGATTTTTTTAGAGCAAAACAAACAAGTGTGACAGACTAGTTTTTTCATTGAGAAAGGCCTGCCTTCAGTGATCCATCTTTCTGATTCTTACTTCTGCTTATTTATTTGTTAGGTCCACTCATTATGTACTTATAGGCTTAGCTCAAAGCTCCACAAGAATGTGTTGGGTCGAAATGGCAAACCAAAAGATTAAACTTTAATAAATCTTTGATCAAATTAATACCGTTTTTATAAACAGTTAATGTTAACCGAAAATTTAATGGTAAGAATTAAATAAAACCTGACAACGGTATCCATAGAGAAATTCAACTTTAACTTTTGCAATTAATGTATAGAGAAATGTGATTCGATCAAACACTGACAACGGTATTTCGAAGGGACTTTACTTTTGGTTTCACCTGAAATAACTCATACCAATGAAAATAATTGTCCTCACATATATAGCATGAATCACTGCCGTTCATGCAACTTTTTGGAATAAAAATCTCAGTGATGAATCTTTTCATATATGACTCATAGTTTATAAGTACTACAACACGTTCTTTTTTAAGAGCTAGAAGAAACTTCATCATTTCCTATATTTATAGAATCAAGCATTACAACTCCCTTTTTTTTCAATAGCGATCCTTATAAAGAATTTATAAATATAACACCAACAGAAAAAATCCCCTAAAGAGTAGATGAAACACATCTAATCTAACCAAATTAAAAATTAAAAAAAAAAAGTTTTGGCAAATAGAAAATCAAGTTCGAAAGCACAAAAAAAATGGTGAGAAATGAATGCCAAAACTCTGATATTTTTCTCTTTTCTCTTTTTTCTTCTGTATTTTCGACCAATTTGAATGAATAAGAAGGCTAATTTTAGCCACATATGTATTATATTCCCCTTAAAAAAAAGGCTGAAATTTTCTTAGACATTAATTGTAACTAGTAGAAGAGGAAAGAGAGAGAGAAAGTGCATTATAATTTTTCTTTTCAAACTAGAGATGTTACCACACGTGTCATAGTTTCCACCTTTAATTAAGCAAGATAAAATCTTATCTATTAATTTACACAAGTTCATAAATCTAAAGTAAACTTGCGGCATCAAATAATTTCATTAAATCAAATCTCAGTTTCATACCTTAGAAACTTAAACTTGCAATGCTATTAATAGCATAACAACAGAAGTCTATTTCATTGGTTGCAGATTAAATTATTGTTTAATACTTTGAAGAGATGTAACGTGTGAATTGCAAAGAAACATTTATTTTCTAAGTTTCATCGAATGAGAGAGAAAAATATCATCAAACATAAATAAATAAATAATCCAAACAAAGTAGAAATACAAGAGAAGAGTAGTAAATAAAGCATACTTTAATTTTATTAACTCTCAATATCGAGAAGTACCAACATTATTACAACCCACATGACACTTTATTATTATATTGTAGACATCGCTCTACAATACTTTTATTCTTTTACATAGATAATACAAACTAAAGCCAGAAACATACATAAGTAAAGGAAACACACGATTGCATTTAGCACATGCAACAAGCCTTTTCAACCTCCAAAGTTATACCTTAGAAGGACGAGTGAAGTCTCGTGAGGGTTTTAGAAGAATGTTACCCACAAACATTCTTATCAATAGTAATATTAACATCCTAATGGTTTGCTTTTAACTTCGTACTTGAAGTTATAGCAATTGATGCCAGTGTAAACACCATCATCCATTTCGTAAATTTTTGTTTCCCCATTGATGAGAGTATCACATTGAGTGTACGAGTAGGGAACATCACACGTACCCTTAGTTGCGAGCAAACTGACAATCACAGTACTCATTGGTGGCACAGTTACTTGATATGTAGTTCCAAGTGTCTGTGATGTTGTTTTAGTTTCTCCCCATTGGTACGATCCACTAAACTCAGCAGATATTTCAACCTTTCCATCAGCAATAAAGGGAACACCTGTTTCCAAAGTTGTTTTGACACCCAATTTTGTAGAAACTGAAGAACTCCACGTGCTTGATTTGGTTTCAGTATACGATAGATTCAAATTCATCGTGTTGGCTACTTGTGTTCGGTTGGTAGCATCCCCAGTGGCCATCACAAGTGGAATTTGATCATAGACTCTGGAATCTGCAAGACGGTAATTCACATTATATATTTCTCTTCGAAGAACAGGCTCTACCATTTGTAACCGTGCAGTTTCGTCAATTGTGTTGATGGCAGCATTGAGACAACTTGTCTTGCCTTCGGTTGTGAGCCTCTTGATAAAGTTGTTATTACCCAAGTTACGTAGAGCAATAACATTATTGTTATCAACTTTTGTTGGCCAAAACAAAGTGTCAGGATTGTTTGTTGAGGTGTCAGTGGAATCAGCCCAAATCCAGTTAGGACTACGCCTCCAAAATTTGCCAAAGTAATTTGACTTTACACGAATACTCCCATCTTTTGTGATGAAAGTTTCCATCCCAATCGTAGGATCTCCGATGTCATTTGAAGCAAATTGGTGATATTGATGGCCTTCAATCCAGCGAGAACTAAGGAAGCAACCATTATCACCCTTGAAAGCAATATATTTAGGTATGGAAAGCAAAGTTCCCCAATCAATGATTGTGCTAAGATCGCAAAGATCTCTATCGGGGTCTGACCATTGTGCACGCAAGCAATCCCCATATGGAGGGCCAACTCTCCACAACACAATATTGAAACCAAGATAGATATGACGAAATCGAAAAGCATGATGAGTGTTGTCATAGATAGGTTGGAATAATGTGCAATTCCATTTGGATTTATCTTCCTCAGTCTTGTCAGCTTGTGCAACAATGTAGTTATGGTCTGAAGGCAAACTTACCCAATATTTGTTGTTGTAGCAACATCGTATATTGACCAATGAAGGGTCACATTTGGCCTGCTCAATGTCAAACTTTGTGTATGGACTCAGAACTGTGTCTCCAGAATACTGGAGAAATGTCTGAACTGGTGAAGCTTCATTCAAATAACGCAAATAGTTGGCGTTGTACTTTGATTTTAAAGCTACATGCCTTGGAAGTTGCACCATTTTCTTCTCTTGCTCTTTGCTTGCTACTCTTCCAAATACAAAGTTGTGTTTGCTATGTTGGTATCTCCTACCACAGATCATATTTATAGGAAGGAAAAGAAATTCTCTCTTCCAACAAAATCTGTCCTCTGATGCATGAGATTCCACGCTATCTTTTTATTTATTTCTTAAAGAAAATAAAAGGAATAAAACATGACTTTTTTTTCCTCATGAATTTGACTAGATTCCATTTCACTTATTTAATTTTAAAAAATTGCTCAAGAAAAATATGGAAATTTACCCTAAACTGTGCAATTATATTAGTGTTTATTTTTCAGTTTTCAATTTCATCAAATTGCACCCAAAATTTAGAAAGAGTTGTAACCTCTGCCTTGAATTTGAAAAATGATTATAACTTTTATCTTCGGACAAGTTTTCGATTGAATAACTTCTTACAAAATCATTCTTATGCATAAACTATAAATTATAAACAAATGGTAGGTACGAAACTGATAGGATTTGAAGCAAAAAAAAGGCATTAGAGCTACTGTCTTTGTTTGAATTTGTGAGTTTTGGTAAAAGTTATTCAATGGTTGATTTTGTGCCTTTGTCAAAATTTAAATTTATGCAAAGCTTTATTAAAATTAATGAGTTTTTGTAGACTTTTAGGGTGCCTATTCGTAAAATTAGTTGGTGTAAATTAGTTATAAATAAAAAAAACAGTAAAAATTGCAATAATTATCTAAGTCTAAGGTCAAATGTGACAAAATTTGAAAGTTTATTGCAAAAATCGATACACCTTATAAAGTTTAGGGGTAAGAACGGATCATTTCCCTAGAATTGATGAGAATTATTATTGTCTAAATTCCGTCACCTATTTGTTCTCTTCTCTTCGTCACAACATAACTTAGTAGCAATTACATTATTTTTTGAGACGGAGAATTGGATCCCAGCCAAAATTTAAAATTTTTTATCATATGCTCTAGGCAAAAAAGTAACACTTTCCTATTTGAAATAATTATTTTAAATTTTTAAAAACATAAGTAATTGGTTTAATCATTGGAGAATTATATTCAATAAAGAAATTGTTTTATTAATATGTGTAGCACATGCTATATCAAAATGAAACAATTCATTTCATGAGATAATCTATCTAAAAAAATAATAAAATTTTAAAAATCTAAATATCTAAATATGCATTAAAGAATTTAATTAATTATTTCATTGATTATATGCCTATTGTAATTTAAACACGTTTAATTTTGAAGAATATGAAAGTGAAAATAAATATAATATGGAGCTAAAATGTATTGTACTTTTGTCTCATTAGAAATGTAACCACTCTTTAAAACACTTTTTAATTTTATTTTTAATTACTTAATTATGATTATTTTATTTTTCTAACCTTCTTTAAAATTTTAAAGTATTGCAATAATGTTTATTGGAATATTTGGCCCTTGGATGTGAACTCTTCAAGTATAACTTTCTTCAAAAATTCTAAATATTCCAAAAAGGGGAAAGAAAAAGGAAATAAAGAAGAAAAAAACAAAAAGGATAAAATTCCATGTGTCATCTCCATCATATTTGGCCCTTTAGTGTGGATGAGGAATTTTTATTGAGGATATCGGTAGCTCTACATGTTAGATTCGAGACGATCCTTATCTTTTAGGTATTTCGAAATGGATCAGTTAGATATATGTAGCATGTGTCGTAATAATATAAGCTGAAACCTTTGGGTTCATTAGATAATATATTTAAAATGGTATCGAGAATAAGAGGTATGATGTAAGTTTTCAAACTCCTGTATTTTTGTTTTTAATGTTAAGATATCTATAAATGATCAATTTATCCTAACCTATAACATTAAACTTTTATGTCGACTGAAACACATGAATTTGATGCCTGGGGTTTGTTTATAACTCGATTGGTTATTTGATATGTTATCAAAAAAGGATGTACTCTTTAATGTTTGAATGAGGTTTTTTTTTTCAAGGGGAAAAAAACTTTTAGGTTATTTAACACAAAACAACTAACATCTTTAAGCTTCACTCATAGTGGAATATCACAATTTGAAAGTTAGGATAGGAAAGAAATTCACACTCTCTCACAAACTTTTACACCCATTAATTCTATTTGTGTCCTTAAAACATTTAAATTTTATATTTTACTTCTTAAATTTGCATACAATAATTTTAGTCCTTACATTCTTTTATTTATTTTTTATTATTATTATTTTGTTCATTTATGTGATAGAAAAATCTATATCAACAAGTATTAAAATCTACATGTAATAGATCACGTGTTCATTTTGAAATAGATTTTAAAATTTTTAAGTGATTAATAAAAAAAAATTAATGATGTTAAGGACAATCAACCTCTCCATATTTCTACAATAATATTGTATTATACTCAATTCGAGTCAAATTCTTCATATTTCTTTTTTTTTTTTCCTTTTGAGTTGAACAATATGTGAGGTGAAAATTCGAACTTCTAACATTTTGGTAGAAGATAAATGTCTTAGTCAGTCGACCGAAAAGACCTCTTACTAATGAAAATATTATCTCCTACGTATATCTACTCGAAATCTTTTGCTTTTCTAATCAAGATAAGAAACTATTGTTTGCACTTCCAAACAAATGACAAAGACTAAAGTAGTTGGGATATTCAAAGCTTTTAACTTTCGAATAATACTCCAAATGGATCAGAAGTATGATGGAATGGGGATTCATGAGATTCTACAAAATCACACGATGAGATTCCACGCTACCTTTTTATTTATTTCTTGAAGAAAATAAAAAGAATCAAACATTGCTTTCTCATGAATTTGACTAAGATTAATTCCGTTTCACATTTGTCATTCTAAATAAACTTTTTCAAGGAAAATAAATCAATTTTTACCATCAACCTCACAATTTATATCAATTTTTGTTTAGAATTCTTTCAATATCATTCAACGACAACTTCAATTTAGAAAGAGTTGCAATCTTTTTTATAAGTTACTGTTTTAATAACTTTTTAAATGAGTAGTGTGTATAAAATAAATAATTAGACAATAAGAATATAGTACTGAATTGGCTAAGGCACCTCTTTCCGATAAAAAAAAAATCTTGAGTTCGAATTTCCACTCATCCTAGACGTTGTTTTTCTTAAAAAATTAAATTCCATTGAATTACAAAACATAAGGTGGAAAACGATAGCACATATAATTTAAGACAACCCCATGGTTTCTTAACGGTAATGATTTCTAGACCTCTAAGCATTACAAAATTTAATTAATCGTTTGATTAATTACATGCTTGTAATTTAAACAAGTTTACTTTTAAAGAATAAAAAACTGAAAAGAAATTATAATATGGAGCTAAAATGTTTTTTTTTTTCATTCGAAATACGTCCATTCTTCCTCTTTTTCGGTTTAATAGTTTTAGTTTTTATCTATTTATTTAATTTTTTCTAACTCTTTTTAAAATTATAAAATTATATGAAGGGTTGATTTTCATTTTTAGGTCCCTTATCAATATTCATGGTTCTATCTCAAAATCAATTGACAATGAGAGGAGTAGCCCACTCATACTATAAACTCATGTTAAATCCTTTGTGTTATAGGGAGATAAAAGAAGAACGGACCAAGCGACAGAAGCAGAGACTGGCCGAGGAAGAACCAAGTAAGCACCGAAACCTGTACGGTCGACCCGTGGTCGACGTCGAGCACTGCTCGGTGCCAATACCTTTTTGGCGCCAAGAACCCTCTTTTGGTTTTCCTCAACTTTTGTGCAGCTCGATCCGAACTTGCCCTATCTCAACCCTCGATCTGACATTAGGCCCAGGACGAAATACATGGGCCTAGGAGTCTAGATCTCTTGACCACACTAGCATTCGACTTATGTAAAGGATTAGTCTTCGACCTATATAATTCCTAAGTGGATTAGGATTTGACTTTTATAAATAAGAGGATGAACCAAACACTAAAAGTACGCTAAAATATGCTAGAAGTCACTACTATTTGCTACGCTCAAAATACCCTACTCTCCATACTCGACTACTCCGATTATGACTTAAGCATCGGAGTCTGTGTGGCAAGAGCCACACCGATCTTTAGTGCTCTTCTGTTTTGCAGGTTTCGATCCCTTTTATTCTAGAAGATTGGTACAAATTTAGCGGAATCCTAGGAGGCCAAATTTCTGCTATTTTTTATGTGGGGTCCTTAACACCATGTACGCCTTCCTCTTTGAGTTCTAGCTTCACTTGGGCCAAAAATATAGCACCAGTGTGGTGCTTTACAGATTGTACACTAATGCTTAAGTTAGTACTTAAGGCGGGAACAAACAAGTGTGGAGTTACTTAAAGTAATTGCAAGAACCACAGTGATAATTTGCGTAAGAGTGTGCGTAGATATAGTTTTTCCGTAAGAATTTGTGCAAGAGGTTGTGTCTGGATTATTTGTTGCATTCTTTTGTTGAGATTCTAGGTGTTGCTTTTATTGAAGGGAGGGAGAGAAAAAGAGGACGTTCAAGTATGGTGTGGGGACAACCAGCACTATGATCTTTCCCTGAGCACGTACCGCGGAGGGGCACAACGTTGTCCAATACAATACTCTAGAATGTGTCCGAATTCAATCGCAAGTTGTCAGTGCCTCTGTTGTTGGCTATCTCTCATATGCTCAAGTGCGCTCTACCCATTGATCCGATGTGCTCAACTTTAGGCCTGGTGCACTCCATTCAACCCAAAAGGTTAAGTTTATGGGTTGGGTAAATTTAATTCATTTAAATTGCAACAACACCCAACAAGTGGAAATCATAATAAATGGAGAGGAAACAATAATGCATGAGTTCGAACACAGGACGTTTCACTTTGATACCATAATACAACCAGAAAATATGGAAGAATAAGTTAATGATTCATTCGTCAATGTTAGACATATCGACAAATATTTAATACCATAACACATTAATACATACGATTTTTCTATGAGATGTTATAAATTAACTATCTACTTCACTGCACTCACTTCATATCTCACTCTTATAAAGGAAAATTATTCATTCTACCATTTCCAATGATTATAATTATCATTCTCTAAGGATGAATAAACCACTACTCAACCTAAAAGATTAAGTTGATTGGTTGGGTAAATTAACAAGTGGAAGTCAATATAAATGAGAAAGAAACAACTACGCACGGGTTCGAACATAGGACATCCCGCTCTGATACCATTGATGGGTTGGGTAAATTTAATTGATTTATGTGGATATCTAACGCCTTCAACCTTTCTAATATACACTGATCTCACAAACTTTCACGTTTATTCTATCTATTTTGGTCCATAAACTTTTAAACTTTCTCTTTTAAATTTTAAACTTATGCACATGAATATAATAATTTTAGTTCTTACTCTTCCTTTTTTTTTTCTTAAATTATACAACAAAAAGCTAATGTAGTAATGTATTTTATTCATTTATGTGATAAGTAGAAATCTATATGAACAAATATTTAAATCTACATGTAATAGACCAAGTGTTCATTGTGAAATAGATTTTTATTTTTTAAATGATTAATAAAAATATTAATGATGTTAAGGACAACGAACCTCTCCATATTTATGTATCGGTATAATAATATTGTCCACTCTAGGTCAGAGCTTTAATGGTTTTACTTTTGAATTAATTCAAAAGACCTGGTACCGATGAAGAATTAATATTCAAAATAATATTGTCCTCTACTTAATTATATAGCCATGATCTTTTATTTGTCTATCTGAAAAGAAAATATTGTTTGCATTTTCGACCAAAGTAGTTCGTATATATTCAAAACTTTATCATTTGAATATATACTCCCGAATGGATTAGAATTTTGGTGGAATGGGGAATCACTATAGGAGATAAAAATAAAATTGAGGATGAAGAATAGTATTCCTTTTTCTTTTTTCTTTTTTCTTTTTATCTATAAGAAAAATAGAATGTATCGTGCCACGAGTGGAAAGAATAATGCCAAAGTAAACTTGGGGAATTAAAAAGTTAGAGTTATGAAGTCTCTATTTGAAGTGCAAAATCGTTTAGTCTTGAGTTATGAAAGATGTATTCGAGATGTCAAGTTTAATCTGGAGTTGTGTAGGTTCGATTCTTGCTCTCTGATTTTGTTTTTAGAGTTACAAATAAAGTTAGATTTCAATAATTTGTTCAAATTTTCAACAAAATTATATTTCCTTCCATTCAAAAATTAAAATTTTGAGTTATATTATTTTATAAATATTTTAGAAAATTAAATGAGTTATGATTATAACTTTTTCTTTACTTTGTTTTTATTGCATAACTATATATAATTGAAACTAATTTATGTAAACAATAAAACAATGATGAAAAACTAGCTATATGATCCTATTAAACAAAGTGAAGAATGTTATAAACATTGTGACTAGAGACTAGCTTTATCTTGACGACGTTATTGATATTGTCTTTTTTGTAAACAGCAGCGGTCTCAAAAAAGTTTCATTACGATTGAAATTTTCACACACAAAATAATATAAATGTTAGCATACTAATTTTCCGAAATTTACTAAGTTTTCAATGCTTTATTGAAGATTTAATTTGATTCGCAGCCATGGTGTAAGATTCACAAGAGTTTTTTTTTTCTTTTTTCTTGAGTACATGTGAAGGGGGAGATCAAACTCACAATTTCTTTGTTTGAAATATATATCAATTATCATTAAGTTAGACTCGTTTTGACAAGATTCAAAAGAGTTAGTCCAAATATAATGCAATGATATAATTAAAATATATACAAGTATTTATTATAAGTCTTGCCAAACCGGCCCAAATATAACATTTTTATTCTCTTACATAATACAAACCGAAAACCACGTAAAAGTATTATAAAGCTTGACAATTTCCCACAAAATGCGATTATGTTTATCACATGTAACAAACATATCATCATTTATTTATTTATCATTATTTATTATTGTTGTTGTTCATGCAGGCATAGGTATCTTCTTGGTCTGATATGTGAAGTTGTAGCAACTGGTGCCACTGTAAACGCCATCGTCTAGGTGAGAGGTAGCTATTTCTCCATCAATGAGAACATCACGTTGAGTATATGAGTAGGGAACATCACATGTACCTTGCGTTGCTAACAAGCTAACAATCAAAGAGGTCATTGGTGGCACAGTTACATGATAAGTCGTTTCAAGGTCTCTTGATTTCGTTACACTTTTTCCCCACTGATATGCTCCTGAAAACTCTGCAGAAATTTCAACTTCTCCCCCTACAAAAAAGGGTATTTTCGTTTGAATTTTTGTTTTCACACCTAACTTCAATGAAACTGAAGCATTCCACGTGCTAGATTTCGTGTCTGTATATTTGAGACGCAAGCCCACAGTGTTGGGTACTTCTGTCTTATTAGTAGCAGTTCCAGTGGCCATCACCAGTAAACTTTGATCGTAGATCCTAGCATCTGATGGTCGAAAATGTACGTCATATATGTCTCGTGAAATAACAGCCTCTTCTATTTGAAATTTTGAATATTGGTCAATAGTTCTGACCAAAGGACGGAGTCCATTCACCACTAATGGATAACTGGATCTTTTGACGAAGCAGTTGTTACCCAAGTTGCGTAGAGCAATGGTATTATTATCGATTTTGGTTGGCCAAAACAAAGTATTTGAGTCTATGTTTGTAACGTCAGTTGATTCTGCCAATATAGAATTAAGTATATGGCAGCGTCTCCAAAACTTTCCAATATAATTTGACTTTATACGAATACTTCCATCTTTTGTTGTGAAGGTTTCCATTGGAACGGCAGGATCTCCAATGTCAGTGGTTTCAAATTCCAAGAATCCATAGTCATTCATCCATCTTGCCCTGAGGTAGCAACCATTGTCACCTTTGAAAGCAACATGTTTAGGTAATGTAACCAACGTTTCCCAATCAATGATTGTATTAAGATCACAAAGTTTTACACAAGTGCCTGAGGAATCTGCAACCAAACAATTAGTATAAACAGGAGTGATTCTCAACAAGTATATATCAAAGCCAAGATAGATATGACGAAATCGATATGCTTTCTCAGCACTGTCGTAAATAGGTTTGAATAATGTGCATGCCCATTTGGATTTGTCTTCTTCTATCTTCTCAGCTTTTGCAGCAATAAAACTTGAGTCCGATGACAAACTGACCAAATATTTGTTGTTGTAGCAACATCGTATGTTGACCAATGAGGAATCACAGTTTGCTGTCTCCAATTCAAACTTTGTGTATGGACTTACAACGTTCTCCTCAGAACTCGCCAAGAATGTGTGTATAGATGAAGCTTCGTCATTCACATAGCGCAGGTAAAGACCATGGAATTTTGATTTGAACGCCACATATCTTGGAAGGTACACCATTTTCCTTCTCTCTTTGTTTTAATATATATAAATATATATGCTTTTCACAACAAAGAGAGGAATTGCTATTGCTATATTAGTTTCCCTTGCAAGATATGCCTTTTATACGAAGAGAAAGGGAATCCCACAATGACATAATCTTTCTCTTTCTTTGTTTTGCTTTTCTTTTCTTTTTATGGTTCCCTATCTTTTATTCTATAATAAAGTATGAAAAAGAGTACATTATTCCCTTGCTTTGCATGAGAGATGAGATTCTCAATTCCCACCTTTGTTTATGCACATGTCAGTATCAGTTAAAGAGTAATATTTGCTTTCAAATCTAACAAATAACAATTCCTACATGAACAAATGATTTTAGATTGACAGTAGTGTGGAATAATGACCCCTTTTCATGTCACATAGCTAGAAACTAGAGGTTACTTTAAAACTAATTCGGTTGGCTAGTTAGTTGTTAAGCTCTCATCTATGCCGTGTACTTTAACGTTAAGGATCTCACATCAAAATATCAATAATCGAGTTAACAAGGTTTATAAATACATGGGTTACTTCTTTAGTTGCTGATGCAAATCCAACCACTCATCAATTGAATGTACCCGAGGGAATAATTACAAGAAGCAAAGCAGAGAAGATTCAAGAGGTTTTAACACTGCATCTTCAAAGGCTGATTAATACACAAGAACCAACAAAGAGTTTTGAGCTCAAAATTATTTATAATGTTACGTCAATGAGTTAAGAAGAGAATGGAGCAAAGATGGCACGGGAAAAGTTGTCTATTTTGAGACATGGTAAAAGACAACAAAAAAAAGTTTGCAGAATTGTGAACAAGTGTCTTTGCAGATTGCACCTCTTGGAAGTTTGTAAAGTCAAAAGCTTGTCAAACCTCATCCAAACGTGAAGCGCCTCCTACATTAGATTTCCAAGACAATTTAAAACCATTCTATGCTTTTTGTTATGCATTTAAGCGTATAGATGGATGTGCAATCAAATTTTAATTTGCGTGTCTTATTTTCTTCAATTTGAACTAAATAGAATGTTGAAAGACTTTTGGTATTTCTTTGTTGAACTTTCCTTTGGCCTATTTAAAGGCTTGTAATCACCTTGTTACGGTAGATTTAACAAATTGAAATCTAGAACTTTTGTTCCTTAACACATTTGGTGTTGCTTCTTTCAAATCTTGCTTTTGGTTTGATGTTAAACCGATTCTGCATTGGATTATTCTCGATCAAGCTAACTATAGAGTGAGTCGTCTTAAGATATAGGAGGGACCATCATAGATTCTAGATATTATCTTAGAGTGACTCATCTTCTAACCTTACTATTGGTTGGAATCATTTGGTAGGTTAGCTATTTTTGTGAAAGTTTGCAAGGATCCTAGAAAGACCTATAGCTTCGTAAGCTTGAGCAACCTTGATGCTTACCAATTGTCAATTAATTTTGAGATAGAACATCATAAATATTACGATGGTATTAGTGCTCAACATAAACTCAAACGACCATCTGGACCGAAACAAAATGATCCGACCAAGATTGGTGACCCTAAAAGATCCACCATCTCGAGACGACATGTTAATGATCTCGCATAAAAAAGATCAATGGAGTTAACCACGTTTATGATATAGATCTTTCTTTGACTTTCAACACGACATGTTAATGATCTCGCATCAAAAAGATCAATGGAGTTAACAACGTTTATGATAAAGATCTTTCTTTGACTTTCAACTACTGGATAAAATCCCTAGCTCACCTTACAAAGTGGATGTAGACCAATCTTCGTTGGATCAAATTGTTGTTGTCTTGTTATTTCTCAGGTTTAGTATTAACTCAGATCTCTACACAACAATTATTAACAAGGTCGAATGAAAAAGATTAGTTATTGATTTATTTATTCAATTAAATTAAAATATTTTGAGAAATTCTTGTAGGGGATAAAAGTAGACAAGAGATAAAGAGATATATAAGAATCTAGCCAAAGATAAAAATATTAATGATGTTAATGTTGGGTTTAGTGCCCTGAGCTCGTGAGTTTGTAATTTGTAAACATTTTATTTATTATTAATAAAAGTTATTTTATTATTTCTTTGCATTACTAATATTCCAATAAACTAAGATCCAAGGTAATTTAATGTAACTAGAACAGTATATACTTTTGGTATACAGTATATATTCAATATACAAATGGATAATGTTTCAGTAATAACCTAAATTATCTATAGTACATGGATAAGGTTGGGTACTTTATCATGGTAACACTATAGATACGACCCGCTTTGTAATAGTTACAAAAGACTTTATCCAGGTCGTTCATGTAGAGACATGCGAGTAGGGGTATCCTATACAATAAGTTTGTATAAGGTCGGACCGCAAAATAATTAATCATTAGCTTTAACACCGTTGGTCAATAAATTGTTATCTCATAGGATGACTAGGTAACTCGATCTTAATTGAGCAAGTTATGCACTCCTGCATATAATGGATCGTCCGTTGATTTGTATGGGTGAGAGTGGCCCAGATTGTCGACTCAATAATCCTACCATTTTGGGAAGGAGACCGAGTGGGGAGCTGGAAACATAACTACGCAAGATTGAATTCACTTCTTCATGACTTTAGGGTAGTAGATGAAGTGTTCCCTTACATGCTGACTCGGGGACTTGAACAAGGGGCTTCATCCTCTCACTGGCCCGGGAGGGATTTCCGGTTATTGGTCGGACCATAACTGGGTTGTTCATTGGAGGAGCAGTGGTATTAAGGAGCAAGATGTAACTCAAGGGTAAAACGGTAATTTGACCCAGCTAGAGTTACGAGCACTCGTGAAGGATTGACTTGCCGTTAATGGTTGTACATCCGTGGATACGAAAACATTCTACAGTAAGAAGAACGCAGTTTCGGGTCTTTAATGGAGTGACTCGCAGCTAACGAATGATTAACTTGGTTAATGAGTTTGACTGATTAATCTCGTATCGTTAGAGATTATAATTTGTAGGTCCATTAGGTTTCCTAGCTAGCTCACAATGGGTAAAACGAGCATAAAGAATTATGAAATAATTTAAAATGTTCAAATTACATAAAGGAACGTATATAATGTATATTGATACATTGATACATTATATAAATATATGTTAATTTTGGATAAAGATTTAAAGTTAATACTATGTATTTTTTAGAGTGGAGGTTAATGTTATGGATGGGAAAAACCTCTATTTTCTACGGAAGATATCCTTATGGTCTTGGGATTTCTCCTAAATTCAGGATAAGATATCCTATATCCAAAAGAATAACATATTCTGATGGTATTAGGATTTTCCTGTATAAATATAAAGCTAAACCCCAAATAGAGGCAAA